GGTCGCACAAATGGCATGGAATGTGGTAGAAATGTGCCCATAAGACAGGTTCAGCATCAAATATTTTGCTCCTGTGTACGTGATAGTTTACGCAATCACCCATCTCATCAGTATACCATTTCGGTTTGCATTGGAACCGTCCAATTTTGGCACTGTAATGGACAGGCTGAGATGTGTGATGGTGTTACTAGCCTGGCCAGACAGAAAACAAATCTCAGCACAGAGGGAGGTCCATTCAGATCGGAGTGTATGTGCGCTGTGCTCTTTGTGGTGGTGTGTGTGTGTGTGTGTGCATCAGCAGACGGTGATGCATATGCAGACAGCTAGTGTTTGGGTCATGGCTGGCTGACTATACCTGAATCACGTCAGTCCTGATCTACGACATCATGTCGACTGGTGGTCAGGAGGCATGTGTGCTCGTGCTGTACTATCCCCTCCATTCTTGTAAGTGAATGAACCAGTGGCGGTTATGACAAAAGCGAAAGGATCACCTCAGCCCTTCAGACTGGGAATTCCATGTAGTGTCGATAAGTGCATTTAAACCACTTCAACAGCAGTTGCTTCACCTAGCCACAAATATTAGACACCCAAACCACTAGACGTGATTGGTCTCAAAACCAGTGCCACTATTACTTCACCTGCCTTTGGTGGTGATGCAATAGTGACGACTCGTGGGACCAGTTGGGATGATGGAAAATAACCACATTTTATCCTATTTGTGTTTGTTACCACTTTTGAATGCGTTGGTTGCTTTTACACAGGAATCGGCATCAGTGTCTGCATTAATAGCTTCTGCAAATCTACCCATATGGGGCATACATTCACCAAAACGTTGGACCTTGAAGAGGACTGCATGGATGTGGAGCTGATCTATGGTGCTAATTTCTGCACTTACCTCACTTTGAAACGCATCTCGCCCCTAAGCCAAGCTGGCAGTCGACGAAGACCTGTAAGACTAGTCCTTGTGACGTTGGGAAGCGGTTGCACTTCGCAGTATTTTTGATATCATTACTTGTGAATCGGTATCAATTGTTGCATAAAACACCTTTTCCTAA